ACCATTAATAGCATGTAGGAAATTGTTCCTGATTCCTCTAAAAGCAACATCTTCATTGAGCTGTCTAGTAATTGGCCATTTTTAATCACTTGTATATTCCATATACTACATACTGATACTTTTAAGGGCTACTTGTCCCTCACTGCACTGATGCAAAGGCTACTGGTATAATCCTATCACAAGATGGTATGTTAACTATAATGTAGGATTCATTTTTGTTTCAGTATAAAGTTTCAGTATATTTCACTGTTAATTCTCAGTTGGTGACCAACTAATTCTTATTCAACTTGTTTTTTTTTCTTTATTGACTTTTTATTAAGTAAAAAAATTCTTTTATATAGGGGTGATAAAATTTACTTTTGAAAAGTTAAAATAGTCAGAAGAAATATATAAAGTAAAAGTTAAGGTCTTAATTGCTTTCTTACTCCTACTCTTCAGAGACAATATTTATGTATAACTTTTCAGACATATTCCATGCACATACAAATATATATATTTATACAATTAATAAACATATCATGTGTGTTACATATTTTTTCCACTTAAAAATAATATATCAGGGCTGGGTTTGTGGTTTGGTGGTAGAGCGCTTGCCCAGCATGTGTGAGGCCTTGGGTTCAGTACTACATAAAAAATAAATAAATAAAATAAAAGTATTGTGTTCATCTACAAAAAAATAAATATTTAAAACAATAAATAATATATCATAAACTAAACTATATCTAATTAGCTTAATTTTTTCCTTAAAAAACTCTCCATAGTATTTTATTTTATAGAATAAGTCATATATGGAACTCTTACTCAAACAAAAAAAAATTTAGAATCTTTTAGGAAAGATTTTAGGAAAGTTCTTTTTCACCTGTTTTGTGCTCTTTTGTGAACATATCTATGAGGAAAATCCTTAAAAATATAGGAGGGCAGAGAGTTTATATAAAACCTTGGAGACATTGCTGTACTGCCCTCCAAAAATATTTTATGTATTCTGTTTATTCCATTTACAGTGTAGATTGCCGTTCAATTCATGACTTTTCCTCCAAAATAGCTTTATTAAGGTCTTATTTATTTGCCCATATGAATTAATTCATTTTAAGTATAAAATCCCATGATTTTAAGTATATTTACCAAATTTTGTTTCCATCACATTAATTCAATTTAAGAACATTTCTTTCACTCTCAAAAATCCTTTGTATCTATTTGCATTAATTGCTCTTTACCATCTCCAGCTTTAGGAAACCACTAAACAAACTATTTCCTATCTCCACAGTTTTGCCTTTTCTGTATATTTCATATAAATGACATTATGCAATATGTGGTTTTTACAACTCCCTTTTTTCATTTAGTGTATAATGTTTTTGAGATTCATCTGTGTTATAGTAAAAATACATATTTTATTGCTTTTAATTGCCTAGTAATTTTCCCTTTCATGGATATAGTATGTTTTAACCATTCACCAGTTGATGGACATTAGGGTAATTTCTAATTAGGGGGTGTTTTAGTTAGCTTTTTGGCTGCTGTGACCCAGAGACCTCACAAGAACAATTTTAGAGGAGTAAAAGTTTATTTGGGGGTTCACAGTTTCAGAGGTCTTGTCCATGGATGGCCGACTCTATTCCTCAGGATTTGAGGTGAGGCAGAACATCATGGCAGAAGAGTGTGGTAGAGGAAAGCATCTAGGGACATTGCATTAGGAAGCACAGAGAGAGCTCTGCTCAACAAGCAAAAAATATATACCCAAAGGTACACTCCCAGGGACTCAACTTCTCCAGCCACACTCTACTTGCCTACAGTTACCACTCAGTTAATCACTATTAGAGGATTAATGCACTGATTAGGTTAAGGCTCTTGTAACTTGATCATTTCACCTCTAAACCCTCTTGTATTGCCTCACACGTGAGCTTTTGGGGGACAACTCATATTTAAACTATATCACAACCCATACTGGTCAAGGTTGAGTGTGATAGGAAATATTTATTCAATATTTATTGTATGCTATGTTATCTTCACAACCTTCTTATTAAGTATACATGATGGGTTCTGTGGTATATAGGATTCCTAGAATCTTCCCTCAAAGATAAAATGACCCATTTCAAACTGAAGACCTCCCTCTGCAAAGGGAGAAACTATCCCAATGAATTTATTATAAGGAGAAGAGAAGGCACCTGTTGGAAACCCCAGTATGAGAGAAAAAAAAAAGTCCACTAAGGAATATTTCTTAACTAAGCCAATAGAAGCACATGAGCCAGTGGTTTTCAGATTCCTCTCATAATGAAACTACTTGTCATCCCTTGGAAATGGAAAGGATTGTATTATCTTCATAATCCTTGTCAGGAGGCTGAAGTTTCCATTCCAGTGGCTCTTAGAAAGTGTGAAAAGAAATGGTTAATCCCTTATGTTTACAGTGTGACTGTCTAAGAAAAATCACACATTCTAGAGATCCCTAGAAGGAGATTGAAAAGTGGGAGTAAATTGCATCATTTTTGAGAGTAATGAGAATACAGTATATAATATCTCACACTTGAGATACCCTAAAAAGCAGCTTTCTATCTTTTTTAGGTTTTGATTATGTGTTTGTATTTTTAATCAAGAACATCAGCTGCAACTTAAGTTGGCTTAATTATGTGCCCCTTTTAGTCTCTATTTCTTTTCCTATTCTTTACCACTATGGAAGTACTTCTTTTGCAAAGAATTGTTGCAAAAGGGTGTTGTAAGCTGTAATCTAGTCTTTTAAATTGTTCTAGTGGAGACTGACAAGGACAGGGTCTCTACCTGCTATTCATGGTGCATCTTATGGGGTCCTAAAAAATCATTCAGATACAGGTAATTTTAGACTCATTTATGTTACAGTGACTTTGTAAGTTTTATACTTACAAAGTATAAAATAAATAAAGTATAAAACTTTGTAAGTTTTATACTTTATTTATTTAGCTCAATTTTTTAACCTAGACTCCAAGAACCTAAGGAGTGTATGAATGTGCTTGGGTCGCATGAGTCTCCTCAAATATGTAAAAATGTGTATACTTTTATGATATAAGAAGTCAATAGATTTCAACAGGTTTTCAAAGGGTAATTTTATTTAAAAAGATTAGAAATCACTGCTGCCGCTGGGAATGATGACACACACCTGTAATCCCAGCAGCTCAGAGGCTGAGGCAGGAGGATCTCGAGTTCAAAGCCAGCCTTGGCAATAGCAAGGAGCTAAGCAACTCAATGAGACTCTGTCTCTAAATAAAATACAAAATAGGGCTGGGGATGTGACTCAATGGTTGAGTATCCCTGAGTTCAATCCATGATACCCCACTCCAAAAAGAGAAAGAAATCACTTCTCTAGAGGTTTAATTTGCTTATTCATTCTCCCTCTCAAGCAAGAAGAGAGATTGTTGGGAAAGACATTTTCTAGGATAGTTTCTAGGATAGTTCTGGATCAGGAGTCTTATGGGAAGGGCAAAAACATTATTTACTATTTTTAATGGGACACATACTTTAATGGAAGTGCTTAATGGAGGACATTCTGTGGTATAACCAGGAGGTATGATTACCTTTCCTTTGGGGACCTCAGAACCAGTCCACTCAGAGTCCTGCATACTCATCCCACAAAGAAAGCACGGACTTATTCTGGGTGTTTTTTTGTTTGTTTGTTTGTTTTGTTTTTTGGAGTGCTCCTAAATTACGGTCCAGAGCCTTTGTTGAATAATCGGAATGAGCTAATAGATGTTCACAACCTGACAGTACTGATTTACACCAAGGGACTTAATTTTTACACTCACTGTTTTTGCTGGATCAACAAATGCAACCAAAGCAGTCAAACAAATATGTCTACTACTTCTAATGTATTCTCTTCCTTTGTTCATCAAATAGTAATGGCATAATATGACTAGTGTTCTATGTTGCATAAAAATCATCACAAATTTAGTGACTTAAAACAATATAAACTTATTATTTTAGTGTCCATGGTCAAGAGTCCAGGCTTGGATGCTTTGCACAAAATCTCACAGAGCTACAATGTAGGCATTGCATGGGCTCTTTCCTGAAACTTGAAGTTCTCTAGTAAGCTCATGGTTGTTGACAGAATTCAGTTTCATATTCCAGCAGGACTGAGCTATTCAATTTCTTGCTGGAAATTAGACAGGGATAACTTCAAGCAACTAAGGGCTGCTTTCAGATCCTTGCCATGTGATTGTCTCTATAGGCAGTTTACAGAGTTGGTTATTTCTTCATTGTTAGTTGTTTAGTTCATGTTAGTGAACATCTATTTGGCTTTCTTTCTGAGAGACCCAAATGCTTTTTTAATGGTCTCTTTTGATAAGGTCAGGCCCACCCAAAATAATCTCCCTTTTGACTAATTCAGTCATTTTCTCAGGAATCTTATCAGGCACTTCTGCAAAATGTCTTAACAGTAACCATGTAACACAACCTAACAACAGGAGTGAAATCCCATCACATTAACAAGTGCCATCTATAATCAAAGGAAGGTGATTATATAGGATATGTATAAGAGGGGTGGGAATCTTGGGGACCACTACATCTAAGTGCCTTGTTTGGTCAGTGGAATGTTGTCCTTGGCAGTTTGCAAAGAGAATCAGGCTTAATAATGATGGAAACCTAGTTTTAGAGGGCAGATCATTATCCAAGAATCAGTGCTTTTTTTTTCTATATAAATATTATTGAAAGTACATTTTTTAAAAAAACTGGTAAAAAGTTAGTTGCTTTGCTATCATTTTTGATAAGTTCATAGTCTGGTCTTGTACCTTTTTTTAGCAACTTTTGATCAATTCCCTAGAATCACTGAAGCAATTGTGAACGAAAATGACAATAATGACTTCCCTCTTATTATTTATTTTAATGGAGATGGATTTAGTGCTTCATTAATCCACTGTTGGTCATTAGTTTTTGAAGCTTGAGAATATTGAGTCATTTCTTTTTCTTCCTAGTTGCTGAGTTTCTCAAATTCCTTTTCAATATCTATATTTTGATACTACATGGCTAGAATGTTATTATTTAGAAAGTCCTTCAAAAATTTGACAGAATTATAATGTATTTAAGTACTCATTAAAATGAAGATTTGGAGAGCTATTTATTGATATAAAAAGATTTTAAAATGCTCACTTTATATATTTTTTGTTTTGGAAAAGAAGATTAAAATATGAATTTTGTTGTTAATTGGAGAACAATGACAAAATAAAAAAAATGAGATTCAGTGGAGACAGGTAATGTGATTTACCACAAGAGGAAGTTAAATGCACAAATATATAGAATAAGGGAATGCTGTACTGACAGTGGTACCACAGGAAAAGATCTGATGGTTATCAACAGTGAGTAATAAATTGGGTATGAGTCAATAATACAGAATGCTATTTTTTTTGAAATAGTAAATACCATGGAGAAATGGGTTCTATTCACAGAATATTATAAATAAAATGAGCCAGAGTTTTTCTGAGTACAAAAAAGCTACTAATAAAATATATTTTAGTAAATGCTAAGGAAAAATAAAAGAGCATTAGATTACAATGGTTCAAATTAATAACATTTTAATTAATGTATCTGAACCAAAACATATAAAATTTAAAGTTAGAAAAATAAAAATTAAAGTATTGAAAATAATGAGAAAACTTTCAGCTCCCAAAATACATTTTAGGTGGAAAACTTCTAATTTGTAGTCTAACATTAAAGAAAATACTAAAAAGATTAAAATAAGAGACAGACTTTTAAAAGATGACTGTAAAATTTATTTCCATTTTGAGTATAGAATATATGTCTCAATTTAACATAAATTATATAAAAACTGGAAAAAGTTCAACCTAAATAAATTTGGACCATGATCATCTAAAGTATTGAAAGCACATTATGTTTTATAGTTTAAATTTATGATTTCATGAGAATCTATATTTAATGTTTAAAATATAAACTATAATTTCATACTAAATATCTAGGTAGAAGATTTTATATTCCCCTTGAGAGAATTTGTGCCAAAATGAAAGACTACTGCAAATATTTAGGAATGGTATTTTAGTAGATAATCCATCCTGCTGAAAAATCTATTGCCTCATTGGTAAAGGATACATATTATTTCAAAAATTCTAATTGATGGTTAGAAACTATGAATGTAGGCTCTTGAACATTATTTCAGGGGCTGTATTCCATCACATTACATTCCTAAATGCTTTTGCAAACCAAATCTTTCATTTGGCTTTTGTGGATCTGTTAGTGTTTTCACTTTCCAAACAACAAAACAATCATGAACTTATTAGGGACTCCAGTTTCTTTCCACAAGAATACACTCTGAAGATGTTTGCTAGAACAAGAGTATGTTTAAGCATTATGAAGCATGGACCAAGAGTAGGATTTGGAGTTAGAAGACATGGGACCTAGTAGCACTCATTAGCTCAATGATTAAAAGTATGTTTCTTTTCCAAGTCTCAATTCAGAATTGTTGAGGATAAAGCCCAAGTGATATGTAAACTATCATAAGCTCTATAAAAGGTCTTTATTATAATTTCTACCACCTCAATGCTGATTAATTTATAGTGTTCCCTTTTTCTTTCTTTTTATTATATAATAATGCATGTCCAACAATATTTTCTGTATTTATCTTGTAAGATACAAGACAATCTCCTGTATGATAGCCAAGACTTTCAGCCTAACTATAGTCAAATCAACAAATATTTGAATTCCTTCTGTGTACCAAGATGTGAGTGAAGTCAAGTTTAATTTTGACCTTTAGTCCATTTAGGCAGCTATAACAAAACTACCATAAGTTGGGTGGCTTACAAATAAGGGGAATTTCTCACAATTGTGGAGGCTGGAAGTCGGAGATCAAGGCACTGGCATTTTTTATGGTCTGGTGGGAACCAACTTCCTGGTACATAGATGGTACATAGGTGAGGTTCTCACCTGGTGGAAGGGATAAATGGTCTCTCCTGGACCTTTTTTTTTTTTTTTTAAAGGAATTAATCCTATGCCTGGAGGCTCTGTCCTCATGACTAATCAATCACCTCCCAAAGGCTCCATCTCAATATCATCAATTCGAGGGTTAGCATTTCAACACACAAATTTTAGGAGGAAGAAAATATTCAGATAATAGCAATATGATTCCTTTGAGGAGCAGCTTATGCTAGTTGCTAAGACAATAAAGCAAGCAATAGAATCAGAATTTAATCAGAAGTTAAATAACAATTCAAGATTTAAATAGAACTTAAATTACAACATAGTCCCCGCATATCACACTGCCCAGCATCTTTTCCTTGATCAATAAAGTCTCCTTATTGCTCATAGTTCCCATTATCAATTAGCACTAAATTTTGAAAGTTAATCTGATTGCCTTTTGTTTTCATATATTTATCTCTGCATGACATATTTTCTGTCTTTACTACTTCGTCATTTAGGTAGTTATTTCTTCTGAAATCCAGTTCACAATTAGCTAATATGTCATCTATATGTGGTTTGATGGTGGAAGTGCTGTGGGTTTGTTTGTTTTGTTTTGCCTTGTTGACATTATTTTTCTAGCTCAGCTCTAATAGGGTCTCTGATAAAATAACATCTGGCACTTGGTGGGCACTTCATAATGTTTGATTAAATAAATTAGTTTATAAGCATTATAAGCCAATTGATTTATTTTATACATAGCTAAAATTTTTATCAGTTATGATTTACTGGAAGCTCTATTTTAGAGCTTCCTATCTAATTATGCAGTGTTCTTTTGAGAAAAGAGACAATATGGTTTGTTAGTTACTTCTAAGTCACTTAAAGTAATTTTAAACTTGTAAATTTCATATAATGTCATTATAAAGTTCTGGAAAATAAACAAAGAAACAAAGAAGTAACAATGAGATTTACCTATCATCCCACCATTCAAAGAAATTAGCAATTTTAGGCATATATTGTTTACCCTAATTTTATACTTTTTTCTTTTACTATTTCATTATAAGCATTTTCTGTTATTAGTGTCATGAAATAACATTTTTATGACTACAAATTTTCTCAGTATGACAGTCTAGAATTGAACTTTTCTCTTCTTGCACATTCAGAACATTCCCACATCCCTCTTTTTACCTTCCCTATAAGTATTAGAGTAATATTACCGTGTAAGACTATTTGCTAGAGTTTGTTTTGGTTGAAGAGATTCTTAGAGATATTATTGATTCAAAAGGAATTAACATTAAATTATTTTAATAGAAACTGCCCAATTGCCTTCAAGTATGGACAATTTAAACTTATTCTAACAGAGTAAGAATGCTATTTCACCCCATTCTTAATTGAGGTCATATTTTAGCAAAATAAGCCCAACAGAAAAATCTGGGCAATGACTTTGAAAAAATAAGAAAACTTTGACATTGCTTCTAAAAATCTTAAAAATCTTTATTATTTTTCTCTAAATTTTTGGGTTTTGTTCTAATAATGTCATTTGCTTTGTTGTCTAGATTTTCTATGCAGTTCATGCTTTTCAAGCACGGAGTGACCATGAACTCAGCCTTCAGGAGTACCAAAGAGTCCATATACTTAGATTTTGTGATCTAAGTGGGAATAAAGAGTGGTGGTTAGCTGAAACTCAAGGACAGAAAGGATATGTGCCAGCTAACTACCTTGGGAAGATGACTTATGCTTAAGGAAATAAAGCCTTTGACCTTCATTTTCCTGGCAAATTGATGATTGACTACCTCATAAAACTGACATTCTGAAACTTTGGGCCAGAAAGTAAGAAAGCTTCAAATTCATGAACTGATACTGAACCAGGTTTTAAGGAAGACTATATTTCCTAACAGGATTATTTCATGAATGTGTTCAATAAATACATGTTGAAGGAAATACTAAGCCAACAGAAGAGCAAAGGAAATAGCCCAAGCTCCAATTATAAACCAGCTAAAGGTGGAGATCTATTGAAAGAATAAATGTTGCTCTTTTATCATCATGAAAGACTGGATCTAAGAATAAGGTTTTTCAGTTTACTGTAATTTTTTCACTATTATATATTTTGCCTCAAACATGTTTTTATTTTTCATACGACTCACTTGCATATACACGTTTATATATACATGTACATCATATGGATTATGCAATTTAGGCAACACTATTATTTTTTTTGTGCACATGGTACTAGGGATTGAACTGAGGCCCTTGAGCATTCTATGCAAATACTGTACCACTGAGTTACATTACCAGCCCATGCAGTTTATACACATCTGTATAATACAGATTATACAAATATAAGTACAAACCATAGCATATACTACATATACACAATAAGATTAATAAACAGCCAACTAGAAATCTTTGATATAGAAGCTTCCTCCAATATAGGTTTTCAACCCCAAGAAAAAACCCTGAAAAATATATTAATATCTGATATTGAATGTATACTATAGAATACATATAGTTCTAAATGCTATATATATATAGTAACTAATTTAATACACATTAAGAGGAAACCATTGCCCAGGGAGGCGAAGTAATTTAGCCCAAGTAAGCAGTAGGGGCTGGAATTCAAACCTAGCAGTCTGATTCTAAAGGTTCCTGCTGCTGACTGCTATACTGTGCTTCTCCAGGAGTGTATATGTTTGTTATCTGCAAAGCACTTAGTGATGTGAATAATATCCACTGAGGAGGACCATTCTTCTCTTATGACTGTATTTAGTATTTAAAATTCTTTCAAAATTAAGGGCTTATAAGGACTTCCATATTACCCTAGAGAAATTAATTTTCTAGGTTTTAATTTTTATTGTTTTACTTAACTATTTTTGAAAGTATAGTGGTTTAAAACTTATCTTTCAAGATTTATAATGACACTTTAATGAGGAAATGTTTTTTTGATCACTCAGTTATTTGGATGATGAATGAGGAATGTGTGTTCCATGTTCTGAGCCAAAATGTAAATATTTTTAGTTGCTAATTTGTTCTTATATGAGGCAGGCACTGAGGACAACATTTGCTATGACATAATGTCCTAGGACACCAAACTTTGAGTATTGCTCAGAAAACGGTCCTCCAAGATTTCAGGCATATTTTGTCAAGACAGTTTATTGAACTAAGATGATTCTTTGGAACAGAAAAGATTAAATTTGATGTTAGTGATTTCCTGTAAAAGCAAATTAAGGTGGTTTTTCACTGTCCATATAAAATGTGTTCATATGACATTAAATATTAAGATTGGACTGTTACTTTAAAAGATTTATTTGAACTGTATAATGTTACATATACTATTGAGGACTACATTAAGCAAAATGAAGAGCACTACTTTTCAGAGACATTTGACTTAAACACACACACACACACATTCATACACACTGATATGTACAACCACAGGAAATCATGAAATATTTACATGACAGGAACATTTGTATTTTAAGATATTTTCCCTAAAATCATTAATCTAAACATGGCTTTCCAATTTTTTTGGCTTATTTTCTTGTTTTAAGTTGGAAATAGAAGATATATAGATATATAGGGACTTTTAATGTCTTTTAATTATTTTTTGTATTCAACTTCAAAACATTAGTTAATTGTTTATTAACAATTATTAATTAATTGTTAAGATAAAGGAAAGGAAATTCAAAATTGTTAAATGTGGAAACTATGCAGATGCCCAAAGACCAAAATAATGTGGAAATAATGTATATGTACTAGCCTTAATGAACAGCATAGATCTGAAATAATGACTAGATGTATATACGAGCATTTTTGTCTACTGGTGTAGTTCTAGGATTGATGCTTCATGTCTGACCTTTGAAGAATCCACAGCACCAAAATCACAACTGCAGTTGACTGCTGAGCAAGAGTTGTAATGAAGCTACTAACTGCAGTTCCCCACTATTGTGGTGAACACATACTACTATGAATATGCATTACAGAACTCATGTAATACATTTACTTTGTAAGTAGTTTGATTAAAATCAAGTAAGTTATAATTTAGAGGTTAGACATTAATTTATTGGACTCAAAAGAAGTAAACTCTTAGGAGAGTTATGAGATACATAAATCTTCAAGAAGTTGAAAAGACAAAACTGTTGGTGCCATCAATATAATTAAGGCTAGGTATGTTAATGTAATAATTTTGTTACATTCTTTTTAAAAATTAAATATTGTACAGAATAGGATTCTGAAGTGGATATTCTTTATACTAAGAATGAAGGGAAAATTTTTGTAGTTAATTTTTTAAAATAAATAATCCAACATGTATATATTTTACCTAGTTTTTATTTTTAAATATAGATGCTCTTAACTGTCTATATAATATTTTTAAAAGTGTAAAAAAATCCCAAATTACTAAGAATGCTGAAATCATGTAAAAATCCAGTCACCCTTTTAATATCCCTTATATTTCAGAGGCATATTTTTAATCAGAGCAATGAAGAACTACATGACATACTTCCAATGCTAGAGTATCCCATACTAGTATAAATATAATTTGTACTTTCAAGATAGATATTAAGGGTGTGGTGTTACATATTTGTAGTCCCAGCTGCTCAGGACAGGCTGAGGCAGGAGGATTCTAAATTCAAGGCCAGCCTCAAAACTTAGTGAGACCCTAAGCAACTTAGTGAGACCCTGAGTCAAAATTTAAGAAAAAAAGGGGGCAGGGGATATAATTCAGGGGTAAAGTGCCATGGGATTAAATCTCTAGTACCCCCCCCAAAAAAAGATGGATATTAAGTGCCTGCTTCTATTTGTGAATAAATATAGTGTTTGGATGATTTACAAAAATTAGTATTTTCACAACTGATGCATGGAATTAAAAACTCTTCGCCTTATTTTTTTTAATCAAAGCTATAAAAATGAGACTATCTTTATATTCTAAGATGTCCAAAAATATCTTATTTGAATCCTGTTTATGAGTTCCTAAAGTATTTAATGTACTGCTAACCAGTGAAAACATCTAGTCATCACAAAACTCGAGCTAAATTAAACATTTATATTATAGTTGATGAAGAAGTGATTACACTTCATTGACCAGAAGGACACTGGACTTTACACTTTCTAGGGATAGATCACAATATAGAGAATGTTACTCTTTCAAAAGTCTATTTTTTTTCTTTACTTCTCTTCCTATATATACACATATAAAAACTCATTCACTAATTCTCTATAACATACAAAATTATTCCATAACACATTTTACTCCAGGGCTATTAGAACTAAACTGGGTCTCTAGGCCAGCTGCTGTTTTCATAATTTTGTAGTCTAACTAGATAAAGTCAAGATTTGCTTTATTTTTTAAAGTTTTTTGGAATAATAAATCATACTTTAACAAATGAAATGTTCTTGTCAAAAAATCTAGGAAATATATTCTTAGTAAATTAAATTTATTTTACTTAAAAAACACTGTGGTAGGTAAATGTATGCCTTTCTCTAATTTTTATATATATTTTAAAATTATTGTATTAATAAAATTTTATTTTGGAGTGTATTTTCTATATAACCTATAGATAATTTAATCTGTTACTAATAAAAAGCATATGCACTGCTAAATAGTGAGAACATCTAGACCTCACAAAACTCAAGCTAAATTAGACATACCAATTTACATTATAGTTGATGAGGAAGTAAGTAAATCTTTGTTAAGAATTGGAATCATCTAGTCAGGCATGGTGTACACACCTACAAT